GTGCTCTCTTTAGTAGGGTTTCTTCCTTTCATCCAAAGCAAAGGACCACAAAGATATATATGCTTACTCATATGCATGTTCAATCTCTTGCTTTCCCGTTGAAACTGGCTGGTAATCTTTGAACCATTCACACACGTTAAGTGGCACCTACACATTTAAATATCAACAACCCATACAGTTGTTAGTTAGTTGCCACTGAATGAAAAACCGTACACTGATTTACTAGCTCTTACATTTAGAACCTTCTTCTCGAATATATCGAACTTGTTTAAAAACAGCATGAAGGAAGTTTTCTGCACCCGAAGAAATAAAATAATATATATTAAAGAGGACATAGATGGAAAAGAGTCAGCTTGGGATAGATGAAGAAATCTGTGTGGCCGCACATGCGACACACAAGAGCACAAAAACACAGAAGAAAAGAAAACCTCGAAACATGGTTGCTTCAGGACCCAGTCAAAAAGCTCCTTTGTCTCCATCATCCTATTCTTACTTTCATCCTCAAAGAGTGTTTGATCATACCTGAAACACAATGTCAATCAAGAATACTTCAGTACACACGCACACACACATATATATAAAGGAATGATATCCATGATCAAAACATGGTAAGATATCTTTGAAGAGAATGACAGATGTAAATGAAAGCAATGGTGATCTTACTCGCTAACAGCAGCACAAAATATTACAGCTGTAACACCTTCAAATAGATGGATCCATTTCCTCCTCTCATTTCTCTGGCCTCCAACATCGAAGAGTCTATATACTTCACCACTTTTCTTATTTTCTCCAACAGGGCTGCAAAATCATAGTAATCACTGAGTCGTTTGTTTGAAAATTCAACCATTCTATACATGAGTTGCACAACCATAGAAAGTCTCATCAAAAGAAATGCATCATACTAAAATGTGCACAGTGCATAAGAAAATCATGAACTAAATTAAATTTTAAGGGCATCCTTAAATGACTTTTAGTTCGAAAATCAGCTGAGTTAGAACAAATAAGTGGCATGGTGAGAAATAAGAAGAAATGTAGTAAACGAAACTGCAGAAAACTGAAAGAAGATTTACATTTTAGCCTTTTGTGGACACAGGAAAAAAAATAATAATTTAAACAGTACAAGTATAAAGAAAATGTCAAAGTTCCAAGAAAAAGTCGTGCTGCACCTTATTTTTCAAAGAAAAATAATTACCTGAACTGGATCTCTACAACACCAGTAGTACGAACTCTGGCATAAAGAACATCCTCCTACAATACCACAAAATGCTTACTTTTTGAAAGAGCTATAAATTTGTAACTTTTCCACATTAATGTAAGAAGTTTATAAAGGAACCAGCTAGGAACCAACACATATATAATAAATATTCTAGTACCTTATTCAATTAAGGAAATAATCAGTTATAATTGTGAACTTTAGTTACCTTGGTTGGAATGTAATTTGCGTCAGCTAATCTTTGAAGATTTTCCATGAAATAGTTGGCACAATCAGGAACTTGGAGTTCATTACCACGGGCATATGTTTCCTACAATTGTAGAGTACGGGTCCTTCACTTAGAGCATTGGGTAAAAGACAGAAGCAGATGTGCTAAATAACTGGATTCAAAGCACTAGGATTGACGTCAAACAATTGCGTATGTCAGTTACATTAAGTAACAGCTACCTGAATTGCAGCATCTTTCCAAAGAGTTTCTATATCCTGTGCAAGCTCTTTTGTGAGACGTGGATAATCCAATCTGCCACCAATTTTTGATAGTTTCTCTCCAATTTCCTGATAAAGAATGCAAAGTTTACTAAACATACATGCAGTTTTGTTTTAGCAATGGATTGAGCAAGCCAGAAGCTTGAAAGAACAGAAAATTCATACAGTGATTTTAAAAACAAATCATATGTTAAAAAGCAGTTAAACCAAATTCCTTCAACTAATGTCAGCTAAATTAAAAAACAAAAACCAGAGAAGGCGATGTAATAGGCAACGAAAGGATGAGGTCAAACCTTATTTTCACTGGATATCTCATACGTTTCTCTGTTATTCTGAGCAAGTTCCTTTGACCCGTCATACAATATCTATTCAACCACATCATGCATACATTAAATTGAAGAATTCAATTCAATTCAGGTTCTTTTGCTCTGAATATGAGTGTTTGCAAAAAAGCTATATTTTCTTCTATAGAGAGCATGCACTAATATTCCTTGTACCATGCAGAAAGGGAAATAACCAACACACCCTTTCACGTATTGCGTACTTTTATGGTCTGATACACATTGGCATGGATGACTGAGATGTAGCTCTTGAGCTCTGCCTCATCAAATCCAGTTTGAAACAGAAGCTTTATCTGCAAATGGTTTGTGTGTAACAAAAATATAAATACATGCATTGCTAGTATAAATGATAATACTTAAATGGGGAAACGTATACAACGTCTTACCTGCTTAAAAATTGTGGATTTCCCCGACTCACCAGCACCTTAAAACAATAAATTGATCTCAGTATTGTGGAATTGATAACTATCTCTAAATATGGTTAAAATTAAAATTATAACTGCAATTTTTGAAATGAACAATGTATAAATGTACCAGGCGCTATGCAAACAGTTTAATATCCGACAAGGAAATGCATAATAAAACTCTATTTGTTACTTCCATGGAATTTGGAAGAATCACCACATAAACAGTACAAGACACCTATATGCTGCCGTCAGTCACAAAAGTGAAAGTTTGCAACCCTACAAAGCTCTAACTATTGCAACCCTAAGAAGCTCTAACTATTATGAATGTGATTTTGTGTAAACCATAGTAGGTAAAAAGAAACCCGTTATATTTTTGTACCAAGTAGAAGAAGTTTCTGGATATGCTTTTCAGCCTTCGTTTCTTGTTCAATTCGCCTTTCAATTTCTGCAGTCTGGAAATGCATGCATTGACAATAAATTAGAGCCCGATGGTAAATGTAAAGCTTCTCCAATAACACTTAATCAATGGCATTACAAAGTTTTTATTATATCATGCAGAACTCACCTGGGCATTCTCTTCGTTGTCCGCTTCGTTGTAATGCTTGTTTCTGCTGCAGAGTAAACCCATATTTTCTATTACAATAGATAGCATAGAAGATGCACAAGTCAGCTCCACACCGTGTTAAATGTATCTTCAATTCCCTTCTGTAAAGTTCATACCAAATGGACCTAATCACAAAGCTAGATGTCAGGGGGCACTATAGAACCTGACCTCAATGACTTCAAACAAACCATTACAATTAAGACACAATGCCACATCAATACCTAAAATTAAAAAGAACCCATACAACCACTCGGCCATACATTCGTTTCGTGATATTAAGATGGAATTCTAGTGAGCCTTTAGTTAGGCAAAGCAGAAAAAGATGGTCCAGACCACAATGTTAAAGATAATTAGTGAGAAAATATTAACTTTAGGTCTGTATACTGATAATAACTATATATTTCCTTATTAAGAATTTAGCTGGGCACCATGGCCTGCATAAACAAACTAAAAAATTACCCATCAGCTAAAGAAATTCTTATTTTTCACAAAAATGAAGATGAAAAAGAAAAGGTAACCCATTAAAGAACACTCACTCCAAAGACAACCCAGAATGCTATTCAATCAAACCAACTAATAAAATAACAAAAAGGGAACTTCTTGATCTAGTGCTACGAGATCAACAGCAGAGATCTGTTACTAAAAAACTAAAAACAAAAGAAGAAGAAGAAGAAGAAGAAGAAGAAGAAGAAGAATAGCAAATTTAAGTAAGAAGCTTAAGTGAGCTACCTGAAAAGAAACGAAATGGCCTTTCTGGGCAAGTGATAGAGCAGTAGATTGAGCTGAATCGCCGAATATGAAGAAGCCTAAAGAGGAATTGCTCTGCTTTGTATGTGTGTTTAACGTGGGATAATGGTTTGTTTTGGTGTGTATTAAATAAAACCCAAAAAAAAAAAACTGGAATTGGAAACAATGAATGTGGTTTTTTGGTGTATATAAATGTATGAATAGTTCTGAGGAAGCGAAATGGGTATCGAAGTGTTGGCTAAATCTGGAAAGAAAGAAAAACAAAAGAAACAGCGCCGAAAGCTGCAAAGCCTGTTCTTCTTGTTGATTCTTCTCTCTTCATTTCAGTCAAAGTTAGAAAAGACAGACCCCAATTAAAAATTGCTTTAATATTTATATTTAAAATTATAGCAACAAAAAAAAAAAAGTGTATTTATTTGTAATTTTCGTAAAATAGTGATATTATCTTCTTGGGACAATACACGTTCTCTATATACGCTGTTGTTGTTGTTGACTGGCCCTCTTCCTCTTTCTCTTTCTCTTTCTCTTTCTCTGTGTATAATATTTTAGAAGTTTGGAGAGGACAAGCTTGCCGGTTGCCACCAAATGGTGGGTCATGTGGAAGAATGCTTCATGCTTTTGCAAGTCCCATCTTTGTCCTTTAGAAAGATTTGTAATGATATTTTAACATGCCAGCCTTTTCCATCACATTAATCCAACTTTTACTTTCTTTTCTTTCTCTTTGCTCTTTAGGGTTAACTATGCACACCTTTCACTATTATGTAATGAGTTTCTCGCAATTGTTATAACACATTTTTATGATAGAGAGTTGAACTGTTTTAAGTTCAGATTCACGGCATAACAAAAGTTTTATATTCATACAATAAAATTAAGGATCGAGCAACTGAGTATTCAACATATGAGTAGATTCAGCAAAATTCTTGAATGACTTCTTATTCAATAAAAGATTATCTCTACATGAGTAAACTCGAGACGAATAGCTAAGATGCACTTACCCCTAATAAAATGGTGCATGCATGTTTCGCAAGTCAAACCTTGGTTTGAAATTGAACTTGTTGCCATTTTCGTACTCATAACCGACCATGTGGAATATCGGCTACGGAACGTAATTTTCCATTGATTTCCTTGTACTTTTCAATTTTTGGTTGGTAGTTCTCATTTCCTGTCAAATTCCAGTGATAAATTTGAAGTTGAAATCTCAATTTATCTCATCCAAAATGTCGTTATTGACCCAAAAGAAAATGATGGAATCATACATCTGCGAGCCGAAGGTGTAGCCCAAAAAAGTTGTTGGGCTCATTGAATACAATTCCATTGAGGCAAAACAAACGTCGGCTAGCTATTGCCTTCAGCTTCGACGTTTGCTGGACCTTCTATTCAGTCCAAAACGCGGGTTTCCGTGCTGGCAGCCCGAGTATTTACTTAACAACCTATACGACATGTCGTATGCCATCACTTAATTATTAAAACAAAAAACAAAAAACAAATAAAAGAGCCAGTTAAGTTAAGCATATATCTATATTTTTTATTTTTTATTTATTTTTGGTTTGGTCTGGTAAACATATCATATATAACAGTTTAATTAAATACTGAAGACCCAATTAATTAGAAAAGAAAAAAGATAGTGATCACTGATCAAGAGTCGTCGCACAAGAAGCTTTCTACAATGTTGTTGAATTGTATGGGATTTTCAACTTGGGGTACATGCGATGTGTTCTTTATCACTTCCAGTCTTGTTTTGGGTCCAAGAAGCCTGCAATATTAATTCACAAAACCAAGCACCTTGATGTTAATTTCTCACCAGACCAAACAAATATATAACTTCACGTAATTCCAATATTATATAATTAGTATTTATTTACAGTCAATTATATGCTTGTGTTTACAATGAAAAACAAACAAATTGTTTTAACAACGAGAAAAAATTGCATATGTAGGTTAGACTAGTTGACTAGAGCAGTGAATTTGTCCCCTTGCACTTAACTTCGAGTTCATCTCCTCAAAAATTAGATTAATTGAGAAGAACGATGAAAAAGTTTGGAATTTAATTTAATCAATTATTAGCTATTAATTAGCATATAGAAAAATAAAAGTGAATATTGAGTTGTATGGAAATTGGGGTACATACTCCTTGAGTTCGGTAGCCATCTCCAAAGGAAAGATCTGGTCTTTATCTCCCCATACGATCAAAACCTCCTACAGCCCAAAATATTGCAATAAATTAATATACATAAATGATTTTTCAATGAAATTATAATAATAATAATAATACCTTGTTAGGAAGAGGAGATAGGTTTGGTGTGTCATCTCGTCCAAGTGTGAGTCCCTTTAGCAGCTCCATCTTTTCCTTCCTTTTATCTGAGTACAATTTCTGCATTCATGCCCCCACCAAATGATAATTAATTAATATTAATTAAAACCGCTAGCTGAAAACCATGATTAAGTTTAATTATCAACCAAACATTTATCATGGGTCCCCTCTGATCTAATCAAACCTAACTGATCAAGACTGATGAAGAACACGTATCTACAATGTGGTCCACATGACACATGACCTTTGAAATTACACGTAAAAGGAAAAACAAATTGTAATCAACATTATAATTATAAAAAAATTGTACCTGCACGAAATCATTCAATAGAAAACGAGGAATGACGTTAACACGCCGGGACATAGCGAGACCGATCAACGTCTGCAACTGCACAGCCGTCGCAGGCAGCATGAGATGTTCAATCTTTTCCAACTTTGCCCTCCTCAGCAACTTCTCGTTATCTCCTCTTCTCATGTTAACCCCGGAGCTGGCAATCACCACCTTCTCCACTCTCTCCGGCCACATCCTCGCCACGTGGTACGCCACAAACCCGCCGTAGCTCGTCCCAATGACACTGAACCTCTCCACGCCCGCCTTCTCCATCAGCTTAGCCACGGAGGCCGCCTGAAAGACCTCGCTTCTCTCTGCTGACGTGGTGGTGGAGTCGCCGAAGAAGACGAGGTCGGGGACGTAGACGTTGAAGCGGGGGGAGAGGAACTGGACTTGGTTCCGCCACTGCCACATGGCGACGGGGCCGAAGCCGTGGATTAGAACCAGGGAAGGCTTTTTCTGGGTGGCTTGAGAAAATTTGGGGTTGGGACCCCAGAAGTGGACGGTGGTCTCATTGTCGAGTTGTAGGGTTTGTTGCGAGAGGCCGGAGGCGGCGAAGCAACGGCGTACGTAGATGGCATATAATGAGACAGGGCTGAGAAAGAAAGGTAGCATTGGATTGAATTGGATTCGGGGATGTTGTTGAGTATGATGTAGGGATATCGACTAGGCCATGATAAAGAGTGTACAGTTTTTTTTCCTTTCTGTTTTGGAGAGGGTGTTTGGGTGGTAAGGTATATGAGCTGGTTTTGGGCTAATTTTAGAAGAAAATTATTAAAGATTAATAAAATTATTAAAGATTAATGGGTGAGAGAATTGGGAAATATTTATTGTAAAGAAGGTGAAAGTGTGTGGAAGTATATAAGGGTGGTGATGGGGTTGGTTTGGTTGGTTTCTTTTTGTGTTTGTGTTATGTAGGTGTGATGATGACCCATACTTTGTCACGAGCCAACTTTCACCAAATTTTGTTGTCTTTAAATGATCTTTCAAACCATACTAGTTAGGCTTTATAACCTGTGTAGTATGTGTAGTGTATCTTGGCATGACCCACATCAAAGTGCATTCTTATCAATTAAACTTGAGGATAATTATAAATTTAACATATATTACGTTCAATGTACTTTCAAACCGTAAATGCATGTGAATCTCATTGTAAGACTCGCGTTTGCTTATATCGATGGTTATAAAATTCTATCAGACCTATACGCAACTAAGCTTAGCACTCGTGTGCATTTTATGATGAAATCACCTACAAGGCTGCATAACACACATGCGAATGATGCAGGCCAGCCAGTCTCCATGCCTCCTTTCCTCTCTATCCGTTCATGTATCAGGACATCAAGCTTAATTTTTATGGTATCTAATAAGATCTTAGTTGCTTAATTAGAAGAGATTAAGTATAACTTTTGAAGCAAGTTGACCAGTGGCTGTTAATTTAGATCCAATTGATTTGATGATATGCCATTACTACTCTTGCAAGCTCAGCTTTGGTTGTTCGCTAAGGCCGGCCTTGCCATCAATATTGCTAAATATCTTTCCAACAACTTCTATTACCAGCCAGAAGTTCCATATGGAATTCCGACCACACGTTAAAGCAAAGCATCCCTAGTGCTTTGTTAAAGTTGAAGTCAAAAGTCTGCATTATCTCATTCTATACCACTTAGAAGATAAAGAAAAATGTTTATGAATTAATCAGTATTTATATTCATATATACATCCTAAAGATATAAGCTGGAATGAGATCATTGGCTAGATTCTTAAATAAAATAAATAAATAAATACTTTTCTCCCAACCAATTAAAATTGATGGAATAAAAATATTGATAAACTGAATGTTTATTTAGTTTATTTTGATCGTGACGGATCATGTATCCAAAGAATTTTGAAGTACTCTCACCTCTCCTCTCTTCTCATAAAAATGGCAGAAACTTAAATCTTTCATTTTCTTCCGAACATCGCGGAAGGAGACCAGATTGTGTATTTTAATTTAAAAAACTATACCTTTAATTATTATTTTAATATTTATGCGTGACAAACTAAAAGCTAAATCTGGCTGACATGGGGCAATCACCCACCCAGTTATGGGTATAATGGGTTGGACTTGCAAATTTTTATTTTTATTTTTCTACTGGTGATCGATGACATTAGTTCTGACTTGAAAGAGGTTGGTTTTTGTGTATGCACCTACTACTGGTGCATGTTTGAATTTGAGCTCACTGATGGAAAAGGGAAGGAGAAGGTCAAGGATGGGCTTATCTTGCTTGACCATAGTAAAAGGAAATGCCACCAATATTGCAAGTAAAGAACTTATGCATTACTTGCTTTGGGCTTTTCTTTTTACTTTTTCGTCTAAACTATTATATAAGAGAGGAATCAAATTTGATGTAAGAGGCAGAGACACTGCCCTAACTTACATATACTATACAACTCGTTTTAATTTTGAGGAGAATGTTGTTTATCTCTACTATTGTCCAACTTTTATTGCCCAATTTACTTGGTACAACAATGGTGCATAAGGTGAGCATGCCATGTACGTCAGGATGCAAGCAAGAACAGTCTTCCACACAATTCCAAACAAATATAAATAAATAGTATCTGCTGTTCTCATCAAGTAATCCATTGTCGTCCAGCGGTTAGGATATCTGGCTTTCACCCAGGAGACCCGGGTTCGATTCCCGGCAATGGAACTTTTTTGTTTCAATCCAGACCGGGGTTCGATTCCCTAGAACAACACTTTTGTTTCTTTTGAGTTTTAAACCCAAGTTTACTTCTGGGGGGCTAAAACCACTTAAGGTGTTTGGTAAAATTCCCATGAGTTAAGTTAAGAAAAAGTTGCAGGTAGATTGATTTGTTCACCCCCACTTCTTTTTTCGGTCAAGAGCACTTTTATGCCAACCGACAGAGAAGTACAAACATAGAAGCTAGGCTACCCACAGCCACAGCCAAAGAACAACAAAGCTGCCAACAGCCAGAGAAAAGAAACAAGAAAAACAAGCTACAGCAAAACTAAAGCAGCCACAGCAGAAAAAAGATGAAGAAAAAAGCTACAGCAAAACAACAGGAAATTTTGTTAGAGGACAAACCTATGACACCTCCCACTTCCTTTTGACCAAAAACTCTAACTTCATCAATCAGCATATGACAAGGTCAGTACTCAATTATATTTTAAATTCCTACCAATGCCTATCTGTGTACAATTTGATTGATTTTTAATGTCGTTGTATATGGATTTCCAGTTTAGCCAAAAGACAGGCTCAAGCAAACGCAGTCAAGCTACATTACTTCTACAAATTTGGTATGTATGGCGTTGACGAAATGTTATATATAATTGGAAATTCTACACAAATCGGTATTTGTACTACAGTTGGCAGAAGCTGATCTTGACCTCTTAACACCTTACTTAACCAAAATAATTAAGCACGACTCACCTCACCTGCCCCAAAAGAGATATAATTGAATGAATAAAAAAGTATTCTGGTATATCATATATATAATACGTCCCATTTTCTTTCTTAGTGGATTGCCTTAATTTTACACATTTAAGGGTTTTCTAATCTGTTTTTTTGACTACTGGAAAAAGGACTTCTGCAAATTTAATATAATAACTTGTTTGGTGATGTACTTTGTATTTATTAAAAGATAGTTTGTATTTGTAATTAATCTAATAACTTATTGTAGCTCATGTGGCATACCCCACAAGCGTTGGATATGTTGAATGATCTAGATTTTATGAAATGCGAGTAAATGTACTACCTCTAAATGCAGAGGCTCGGAATCCTCTGTGTATAGTTAAAAAAAGTCAAAGTGGTAGGCAAGTCATTGGCCATCCCTAACAGATACAGAGACACAGATATGCCTTGGTAGAACTGTTCTGTATAAGATAATTAATAAGAATATTATCCTCCGTATAAATTGTTATTAACAATGTAATATATTATATAGTAGGTGACTAAAGGATATGACAAGGTCTCTAAGCAGCCTTCATATACATAATTGCCTCATCATTGCAAGACATTAAACAATTGCCATTCTGTTGTCTTCTCAAGATGGCTCATGAGAAGATCACATGGAAATGCATCATCCCAGGCTGTTACAAAAGCGCTGCACGTTTAGAAAACCGGTTGCAGACAGATTGCAAAAGAAAACAAATTCTGAAACAAAAACCTTTGCTGCAGAAGAGGCTTTCCCTCTCGGATATAAACGATGATCCCAGCTCAACGCTCTTTGCAGATGATCTTTCCAACTCCGTCATCGGCCTTAATCTTCATGTTTTTTCGTTAGCGGAGCTTAGAGTTGTCACAAGTAATTTCTCATGGAGTAATCTGCTTGGTGAGGGCGGGTTTGGACCGGTGTTCAAGGGATTTGTTGATGACAAGCTTAGGCCTGGATTGAAGCCTCAGCCTGTAGCTGTCAAGCTGTTAGACTTGGATGGCTTGCAGGGCCATAGGGAGTGGCTGGTTTGATTACTATATGTTGCACATTTGAGTTTCAAGTGACCATAATGGCCTTTTTCATTTGAATAGCATTGCATTGTTTCTGTTGTTGCAGGCAGAGCTTATATTTCTTGGACAGCTGAGGCATCCTAATCTTGTTAAGCTGATTGGATATTGTTGTGAAGATGAGCACAGGCTTCTTGTATATGAATTCATGGCAAGAGGAAGCTTAGAAAACCAACTTTTCAGAAGTGAGTTACTTTTCATTTCTCTTGAAATTTTTTGCTATAATCAATCAGCTGCCAAGCTTATTGAATGAGTTGGATATTGCTGTGTCTATTGACTGATGTCATGTGTGCTATTTCTCGCTAAATGTACTGCAGGCTACTCTTCTGCTCTGCCGTGGTCGAAAAGAATGAAAATCGCTGTTGGAGCAGCTAAGGGCCTAGCCTTTCTTCATGAAGCCGATCATAAGCCTGTCATATTCAGAGATTTTAAGACTTCAAATATTCTGCTGGACTCTGTAATTTCTTTCTTTCGGAGCTCTCTTATATTGTTGTTGATGTCCATGTGATCTTTGTCACATAAAAATGAAAAAGTACAAAAGGTAGTAAGATTGATTTTGAATTAACTTCTTTCCCTTTCAGGATTATACAGCTAAACTTTCAGATTTTGGGTTAGCAAAGGATGGTCCAGAAGGAGAAGACACACACATAACCACACGTATAATAGGAACACAGGGGTATGCAGCCCCAGAATACATCATGACAGGTAAACCCAATAGCTATTTAGGAAAAGACTAGTCTTTCATAAGTCATAAACTAATCAAGTTTAGCACCTAATTAAATTCAGGTCGATTGACAACCAAGAGTGATGTGTATAGTTTTGGAGTTGTTCTGTTAGAGCTGCTGACAGGTAAACAGTGCATAGATAACACCCGCCCAAATCGAGAACAGAACCTTGTAGAATGGGCAAAGCCTCGCTTGAAGGACCCCAGAAAGCTCGACCGGATTATAGACCCAACAATGGAGGGACAATACTCCACAAGAGGGGCTCGAAAGGCGGCTGCATTGGCTTACGCATGCCTGAGCCACCAGCCAAAGAATAGGCCAATGATGAGTGATGTGGTCATGATCTTGGAGCCTCTTCAGAACTTCAATGAAGGGTTAATTGTTAGGCCATTTGTTTATGTAGCACCAAATGAGGAGGATAGTAATAGTACGTAGCACACAAGGCATTATAACAAGTGAAGCACAAAAAGATGGCAAAGAAAGTTGGAAGTAGTGTACAGTCTCCAAATAATTTGTATTGATTGAGAAAGAAAGGAAGGATCTACTAACGTCAGTCACTCATTCGCACGAAATTTCTGATCGTTGATAAATGTCGTCTCCGCATCTCATCAACGGGCGACTAAACGTACCATATCTCAATAAAGGATTTCAAGATTTCAAGACAGTGTATTTTGCAAACTAGTAATAAAATATAGTGAAAAAGCCAGCATGGATATGGTAATGATATCATGTTGATTAATTATACATCTGGTTTGATTAAAAAATGCTACACTTGACTGTGTGAATTGACAAAAACCTAATCATATATCTTAATCTAAGGGAAGAATTCCAAGTTCCAATAGCAATATACAAATCAAGAACGCAGCCCCCTCTGATAACGTCTTCACTGTAATATCAGGAATTTCAACACCTGCCCACCAATTCATCGCTTGAAAGCCATCACCAACCAAATAGGCCTAACTTGACCTCATTTTTTTAGTGTTCACTATAATATGAAAAATTCTCATGTCCTGTTCTGAATGTTCTTTTGTTCGTCGTCTCTTGTGCTTACTAACCTTCTAGACTAGCGTGTGATGTTTTCTTCATGACATATATTAAGTTGAAGAAGACAAAATGGAACAACTGGTTAGAAACTTGCGGGTTTCTTCTGGGCTTCTAACCTTCTACATCTGCTAAAGTTATCCACGTTACTTAACTTTTTTTATTCATGTTAATATGAGATAAAAGTTATCCATGATATTTCATGTTAATATTGGTAAAATGGAGGTTCATTGCCTAAGCTATAAGGATTTTTAAGTCATTGTCACACCTCTCCATTTTGTTATAGGTATAATATTAGCCCAATGGTAGATAAATCTCTTTTTGTGGTTCACTAAGGGCCAGTTTGACATTGTTGTGCTGTGAAAATAATCGCTGTCAGATTTGCTGTGAGAGAAATCAGCTATAAGAGAAAACAGTTTGGCGTTTGGTAAAATTTTTGTTACAAGTGTTGGTATTTATTTTATGCATAATTAGAAAATGATTGCCGCATAATCATTAAACTCAGCACCTCTTCGAAATTGATTCCTGCATAATCAGAAAATGAAAGCACCTCATTAGCTGCTTTCCCTTATAGCTTTCTCTCACATCAATTTTTAACAGTAATTTTCTCACAGTTTACCAAACGGGTTGGGCTTTTCAAATTTTTTTAAAAATCACTTATCACCCCAAATAAGCAATGTCAAACGGGCACTAAGTTGCCTATGTATGTTCTAGGGGGAGAAAATAAATAAATGTCCACCAAAGACCCGAGGGAGAAACACTTCAATCAGCATGAGGTAGGTAGTCTTGTTTTAAATGACGGTTTTGTATCTTTTGCTGCCATTTGCAGCGATTTCATGACCTTTAGCGGCATAATTAGGGTTTCAAATACGGAGCGGATTATTTCGCCGCTAACCACGGCTAAATCAATAATTAGTAGCGACATGTAGATTTACTGTCTTTCCCTCTCACACATCGTCATTTTGGGACCCTACTCCAGTTTGAAAATGGACATCTTTTATCAAATGGTCCTTGTTTATGAAAATCTCATGCTAAATTATTTTAAAATTTAGCTTGGCATCATGTAGTCAAATTAATCAAGTTCTTTTTTTCTTCTTTTGTTGTCCTGCATCACTCACTCCCACGAGTAGGAAAAAAAAAAAAAAAAAAAAAAAGCAGCCAACATTCAAAACCAAAAAGAACATCACGAAACCCCCATCATCACCTGCACAAGCTCTTTGCCCTATAACACAGCAGTGTAGGTAGCAGCATTGGGCCTCGTCTCCTTGTCAAATGCAAGTACTTTAGTTTTGTTGATTTCACTATTCAACTAGATCCGAGATGAGGTCTTCTAATTCATCAATAATGGCATCATAACAAAAAGAGTATTGCTCCGGTTTCTGGACCATTCCATCTCGCTGAGACCTAAATCTGGTTATTGTATTAACTAAATCTAAAGCAGACATGTCCCCAGAAATAATTCTCTGCAATGTGTCATGAATTGTGCAATATGTTTCCAGTTCTCCCAACACCTGCACTGCAGTGTACCACAATTGGACTGGAGTCGGGTATGGCAGGTGCTACTTGATACATTGCTCTTTTCAAAATTTCACGAACAGCAATTGTGTTTTCGGGAACTCCATGGTCAGGCCATTGAGGATACAGAATATGCAAAACAGACATAGGTGCTTCCTCTGAGTCTGACTCTTCCTTATGCTTCTTCACCTCCAAAGGGCGCAACACTACTGAATTACCATCTCCAAATTCACTACTTCTTATCGACATATATTCCCAAATTCTCTATGGCCATCATCACCTTCTGCCTGAAAATAATCTCCACATTTATTATCATCCAAATCAGTAAGCACGACAACTACAGAACAACGGTACTGGATTACCATCTCCCAAAAATCCTCAAAGGTCTCTGAAAGTGGACCTTGTGTTGCAATAAAAGAAGAGGAACATGATGTGATGAAGCTAGCATTGATGTAGTCTCCTGCGGCAGAATAGTTGAGAACAACCATATTTTCGTCAAACGCTACGTAGTCATCATAACGGTTTTTGCTAAAATTGAAATTGTTGAAAGCCACAGTGCAACGCTTCTCCACCTCAGATTGTATTATATAAATGGCATCTAACTGATCCCACTCTTGTTTGATCTGTTCAGGCATCCGGAGCTTGTCCTTGAAGAATTTGAGAGCCAATGAGCAGTACTTATACTGATTGGGAGCGAGGGTGAGTCTCCTTGGCGGCAGAGCATAGGCCAACAACTCCAAAGAAGGGAGGGCGTTTGTTGCAGCGGTAGCCATTGACGGCGATATCCTGCGGTGGGGAGAGCCCCTAGAAGAGATGTTCTCCAGTTTCTGGGATTTTCCCCATGCGGTCACATCATCAACCCTCGTCTTCAACGTCTCCCTCATCCTCTTGGTCTTCGGCATCTCCAGATTTGCGTTATATCAGAAACTGATGACAAACAACCAAAGCAAAACTTCATTGACCTTGAGCTGTATTAGAAACTCCAAAAAAACAAACATTAGAAAAGATAGGACGCTGAGCAATTTCAAACATTGAATATTTACAATTGTTCTCAACAAATTTTCATATTTCTCAAAGACTGGATGGTGACCTTGTTACCAATACATTGAGTATGTCTTTCTCTAGATACAACCATGCTATTAGTGAGCCATTGAACTCTCACTCTACTAGGCATTACATCCTTACAAAATCATCAAAGCAGATTGCATAAATCTTAATTTAATGGAAATCTTAGTTAAATACCTACAACTTCGTTTATAGATTGACATCTTAAGTTACACAGCCAGCAATACCAATATCAAAGTCACTTCTTCACATTCAGTTATAATCATACATTCACAGCCAATGGGGCAATTGCCCCTAAAATGAATCCTCCATTAATGTGACTGTTACTGGGTAATCTTCTCACGTTAATTTCAAGATTCTAATAAACTTTTGAATCTAGTTCACAAAAAGCATACCCAAATTA